AGGCTATGTTTTGGACCATATTTAGCACAATTTATTTTTTATCTCGAAAACAGATAGAGATAGGTATAGGACATTATCAACAAAAAAGTATTAAAATACCAGAGCGATTCCAAAAATGTATTAATGTACGGGGTGTTCTATTTAAAAAAATAAAGTTGCTCGGACTTTTTGATGGAAGTGGCAACGCCGCAATGCTGAAAATATTTTAGATCGATAGAACAGGTAAGAAAATGTGAGAGATGAAATTTTCAGAAAAATCATGCTTTGCGTTTTCCAGAAACGTCTAACCTACCATCGACCGTGAGTCACCCTGTATATGAGAGCAAGAAAATATACAACCACCTTCCGAAGTGCTATAGGGCAATAGCAAATTTTAAAAACAATCAGAAAATTTTAACTCTCAGTATTTCAGATGCTTACATATCTGTAATGATTTATTTATTATTTATCTGTAATATATTGTTTTATTTATGTGTATACGTATATGTACATTTTTTAACCCTATAATGATTGTTCACTGTATATCAAATTTTAATATTTTTCAAAAACTCCAACATTGTTGACTTCATAAAGTTTCACTAGCTTTGTCAATAAGGATTTCTTAGATAATAGAGCATGATTGATTGATTAATTGATTGATTGATTGATATACCTGTAAGTGCTTGTTTCCTTCCTGAACACATCGTATTCTATAGCTTTCTCTATTGGTTTCTCATCACCAAAACGTCAAGAAATGGAAGTTGTCCCTGATCTTCTAACTCATATGCGAATTTTATTGATGGAAATCTGTTATTCAAAAAGGAAACAAAGTCCTCAATACCATCAATATACGAAGAACTTTAGAAAAATTTTCGGGGAACTAGGTAGGAAGGTAGTATTTAAAACAAGCAATACACTAGATCTCCTTCTAATGAACTGCAGTCTGAGTCCATTCCTATCCTTATTATCCTCATACCGTTTCCTTTAAGTACTGCTTTTGCCAGCTTGGGAACTGTGTTTGCTCTTTATATCCGATTCGTTGTCAAAGTTCAGTCAAGATGTGTGAGAATAATAGAAAACGGGGTTCATTAAAGGCAAAGTTAACCATATTCTTAAAGTATGTGGATGATGTGAATGGGAAGTCAGAAATTTCAGACTTTGATATCATTCAACTAAAAGATAGATTAGAAAGAATTGAACAAACTATGATTGAATTTGATCCAATTCAAAATGTCATTGAGTGTTTGACAGATGAGTTAGAAAGTGAAATTTCCGAAAGACAGTTATTTGAAGACTCTTTCTACAACCTTACTTCAATTGCAAAGAAAATCATAAAAGATTTTGATATTCTTTCTAATCAAGATAATGTCTCTTCTCATTCCTCAATTCTTTCTCAGCCATTGGCGAATAATTCTATTTCAAACCAAAACTTCAATGTCAAATTACCTACTATAAGTTTACCTACATTTAGTGGAGAGTATGCAAATTGGTTGGAGTTTCGCGATACTTATGAATGTTTAATTCACCAAAATGTAAGTATAACTGACATTCAGAAGTTTCATTATCTTTGATCGGCTTTGGCTGGAGGCCCGACTCAGGTTATAGGTTCTCTTGAATTTACATAAAAAAACTATGCAGTGGCGTGGCGAGCTATGCTTGAGCGCTTTAATAATAATAGAATACTAGTTCAGAATTATTTCAAGGCTTTATTTAATATGGAGTCTTTGAATAGGGAATCAGCAGATGGCATAAGAAAATGTATGGATACTGTTTCAAAACATATGCGAGCGTTGGAACAGCTCGAACAACGTACGGATAAATGGGATACACTAATAATTTATTCAGTGACAACAAAATTAGATTCCTCTACACTACGCGAGTGGGAGGAATATAAAGCGGATAACAATTTACCGGCATTAAATGACCTTAAAATATTTTTAAAATCATGAGCTGATTTATTAGAAACTTTAGAGGTAAATAAACTTGAAAAATCGGCTAAAGCCAAAATATCTAAAAATTTCGTTGCAGCCGATAATAATAAGTTCAAATGTAAAGTTTACAGCAAAGAACATTATATACAAAATTGTTTTTAACTTTTGCAATTGCCGGTTGACAAGAGATTAGAGAAAACAAAAGCTTTAAAATTGTGCTTAAATTGTCTACGACCTGGACATAATAGCTATATTTGTCGTCGGGGAACTTACAAAAAATGCAACTCAAAGCATTATACTTCATTACATTTTGAAATACATGTTTCGAATGAATTAGATGTTAATAACGATGACCCATCCAGTAATAATGTTTCAATTTTGTCTTCTCGGGTGTCAGATTCACACATCCTTTTGTCTACGGCATATATTCAAGTATTAGATGCGAACAAAGTTCGCATCGTACAAAATATATATGTAGACGATTGAATTACATCACTAATGCAATTAATTTATTAGTTTCTGGAATAAGTCAATCAACTTTAAATATAATATGTAATATAAAATGTAATTTAACAATTCATTCTCTCCACAATGAATTTCCTGAAGATATTACATGTTTAGTTATTCCTCATATTTCCAGCGAGTTACCGAGTATAGGTATCTCTCAACATTGAAGACTTGAATATTCCTAAAAACCTGATTTTAGTTGACCCGTCATTTTATGAACCAAGCTAAATAGACATACTTATTGGGGCCAATTTGTTTTGGAATTTGTTGGCAGAAGGTTAGATTTCGTTAGGAAATAATCAACCTGTTCTACAAAAAACACGTTTGGGCTCGATTATTTCCGCTCCTTGTAATAAAGTTCAGTTTTCAAATAAGACTTCAATTTTAGTCAAATACGCGATATTCAATTTCAATTATCGCGTTTTTGGGAGTTAGAAGAATGTACAGATGAAAAAATGTAGTCAAAAGATGAGATGGCTTGTGAAAATCATTTTATAGAAAATACATTACGCAATGATGATGGCAGATTTGTAGTAAAATTGCCATTTAAAGACGACTTGGAAAAACTTGGCGATTCTTACGAACACGCAAAGTACCGATTTCATTCTTTAGAACGTAAATTTCAAAGGCAACCCAATTTGAGGGAAGAATACATGAAATTTATGAAAGAATATGAACATTTAGGACACATGACTGAAATGAAACAAGCTGATGCTTCTGAAGAGGCATATGGAGGATGCATCTACTCAAGGTCAGTTAATAAACACGGAAATATAGAAGTCAATTTTCTCTGTTCAAAAACTAAGGTCGCACCTCTAAAAACAATCAGTTTGCCTCGTTTGGAATTATCGGGTGCATTAATATTAACACGATTGGCAAACAAAGTATTGAAATCATTACGGCTAAATATCAACAAAAGATTCTTCTGGTCTGATTCAACTATAGTCCTGGCATGGTTGAAAACACCACCGAACAAACTAGAAATTTTTGTGAGCAACAGAGTAGCAAAAATACAAGAACTAACTAAAAAATACTGACATTTGGCTTCATATTCCTAGCGATATTTCATCTCGCGGATTGATGCCTGACGAAATAGGTAATGTTCAGCTGTGGTGGCATGGTCCATTGTTGCTTTCAAAAGGTTGAGGATTGGCCAAATGAAGTTAATTCATTGAAAACAAATGAATTACCATACTTAAAAAAGGAAATTCAGTTATTTACAGTACAAAATCTTGAAACCTTTCCTTGAAATTGATTTTAGACAAGACACAGGTACCTAGCAGAGGTATGTACGATATAAATAAGGATACATTGTATGTAATTTAGTTTAATCTTTCTCTTGAAGATGATCACTTGGTGATTGAAACATGTGTCGAGGTGTTAAAAATGACGGTTTGGTGTTGGGACTAAACTCCAGTAATATTCATCAGTACACTAAAGGTTCTAAACAGTTCATCACAAGTTTGATACTATTAGTTATTTGATTTTAAAGATGACGTATTTTATGCATGTTCATTGCTGGATTTTGATTGCATTGTTCATTGTTACAGGGTTTACGAAAAAGTGTGTTAATAGGAATGATTGGCACATGCGCAGGCTCATGGTTGAAATTAGGCTCAGTCAGCCAGGATCGCTTCTGGGTGGCTTTCGTGGGTCAATCCATCGTAGCTTTCTGTCAAATTTTCGTGCTTTCAGTGCCGGCTCGAGTAGCTGCAGTTTGGTTTGGCCCATCCGAAGTGTCTTCGGCTTGCAGCATCGGAGTGTTCGGAAATCAGGTGAGAAGCTATTGTAGGCAATTAATTTTCAGAGACAATTTGTTTTTCATTAGAATTGTTCGATACTTGATCTAAATTCAAAAGGATACTAATGAACAGGACTAATTGTGAGATTTGCGAGAGTTCCCGGGAACAGCTCTTCAAATGATAATAATCAGTTTGATATGCTGACACATTGTCTTATCTCGAGCAAATATTACTGGCACACTAGAGAAAAAACAATAATAACAAATTTGAATCAGTGAAAAACAAATCTTAATAACTACTACTAGAATTTTGAAAGTAGTTATCAAGAAGTCTTTTACATGTCACTAGCGCACAGTTTATTTGCCACAAAAAACCTGATATTGTTTAATTGTCACTGTTAAACAATGACCAAGCATACGAAAGTACTGCCCACCAATGGAATGGAACAGTTACAGTAATAAACGTAGCTCTTTACTATTATTGAACAGTTTATCGTTAGTTACCTATTTCTTGAAAGAAGTGTAATTACAGATTGATTGTGATACGCGAACTGTAATAACAATAAATACTTGAAGCAAATCGTATGGTTTGTGTTGAATCATAAGTCAATAGCAATAATTAAAATAGTGTCAAAATGCACATGTTCACTTGAGCGTTTTTCGTTTGAGGAATGGTTCACGGTGAAGTTTTGTTTTTGATATTAACCTAATAGCTATTTATGATATGAGTGTTGAAAGTAAGGTTTCATTTTGTGAGTAAAAAAGTTTGCGAAACGAGCGTAGCAAGTTGAGCAATTTCATGAACAAAATAAAACTTACTTTTAACACAAATATAATACAAAGTTTTTTTTACAACTGTCCTGTTTTCATAATGAAATAGATGAATTTAATATTTCTACGTTTGTTTGAAGGTGATTAACAATGTTTCATGATGAATTTCACTAGTTCGGACTTCCATTGTCTGATATTATATGAAATGATTTGGAATCCCTGAAAGAGCAAAAAAAAAAGAATTAAAAATGAATAGCAGAAAATAACAATTATATTAAGCCAAAAAACCTGAAATGAAATAATAGTGAAATGAAATACATGTGAAAATAGAACAATTGAACGAAAAATTAAAATAAAAAAGATAAAAATGAAAAGTAAAAAGTTAAGAGATTTCAAGCCAAGTTATTTTACGACGTTTCGATTGTTAGAATCCACAATCGTCTTCGGGTGATGACTGGACTGATTCCTCCGAGAGATGACTATTTATGGGTCGTTCAAGTACTTTCACTTATCCCCGCTTTCCATTTTGTTGGCCAGTTTTCGCATGTTGATGGGTTTCCTTACGCTGCGTATCTCTACGCTAGCTTAGCTGAATACGTTGTTGGACAACATGTATGCGGCTTCTTTGAATTTTTTCCTGAACCAATGTTCCTCTCTGTGTATGATCTCAGCTTGGGACCACTCGATGTTGTGTTGATGGGTCCAAACATGGTCTGCTACTCCTGATTTGCTGGTTTCCCCTCGCTGTGTGTGTTTCTTGTGCTCGACAATGCGAACAATCAATGGCCTCTTAGTTTCACCGAAATAGGATTTTCCGCACTCACAGGTAAATGCATTTCTTGGAATCGCAGTCCGCGTTTGGTGGCCTGGTTTTCGTGGGGCTGCTACGGATAGTGATACCGGATCTGAAGCAGATTCTGATGTTGTACTTGAAACCAATTCTGCTCTGATGTAGGGAAGTGCAAGCACTGGTTGTGACGGCTTCTGTTCTTTCCGAGGCTCCTGCTATTTTCGGAATATATGGAGCCTGCTGGCGTGAAGAGCTGTGCCATTTATTGAAGAAGACATCAAATCAATGGATATTTTCGCCATTGAATAACATTACAAATCATACTTACAGTAAAAATGAGCGAAAACAATAAATTGAACATTGAATTGACGAGAAAGTTGTACATGTATATGAATTTTTTTGTGGGTTTGACAAATGTCATACCTTAACATAAATGTCATTTTTCAATGGGTATGATAATACAATTTTCATTATTATTATGTTTTTGATGTAGTTCCAGTAAGTTACAGTATATACTGCCGAGATTATCAATGCCAGTTTTCTTATTCATACAATCAGAAGACTTATTAATTTCAACCATTTCAAGAAAAAGGCGTTTGGAAATATTTTTTTCTGTATGTAAAACTTTGATATTGGAGTAATTTGGTTTATGTCCTGTTTCTATAGAGTGTTGTGCTAATGCCCATAATTTCTTATTAAGCTTTATATCACTTTTATGTGAAGTTACTCTATCATTAAGAATTCTAGATGTTGTTCCAATATAATTCAAGGTACAATTGTTACAAGGAATGTTATGAATCACATTTGACTTTTTTGTTTTATCTTTCAATTTGGTATTCAAATTCTTCATAGTTTTAATATTTTTTTGGCATATTTTGATATTTTGTTCATTATGAAAAAGCTTAATGATATTTGAAGATAAATTTCCAAGGTTAGGTATATATTGATAAGAAATATTGATAGGTGAACTATCATTGTATACATTCCTGTTAATTACATCGGAATTTGTGTTACTACCATTATTACGAAATCATCATACCCATTGAAAAATTACATTTATGTGAAGGTATGACATTTGTCAAACCCACAAAAAAGTCATATACATGTACAACTTTCTCGTAAATTTAATTCAATTTATTGTTTTTCGCTCATTTTTTCTGTAAGTATGATTTGTAATGTTATTCAATGACAAAAATATTCACAACACATTAAATTATAGGCCCTGAAGAAGCTTCACATTAGAAGCAAAAGCTTGGCAAAGTAAAACAGAGTTTGATTTTTGATTTTTTGACTGAGAGACCCTGTTAATCAGTACAAAAAACCATTTTCTGGATCAGTTTTCCGTCATTCATTTTGTTTTACTTCAAATCTCACGAATCTCACGAATATCTCCAACAGTGGTTTTCGACAACCTTTTTTTATAATTGGCGATTTTTTTTCATTTTCCTTCCCAGTTTGTACGTCTTGTTGATTGAAGAAGTGATACCTCTTCTCCAGATTGGAACAATCTATTTTTGGGTCCGTAACAACCTTCGATAATTCAACTTGACATGCCCATCACGTTACTCATTTAAAAAATGATATAGCCCATCCAAATTGTACTCTATTACAGCTCGTTAGACACTTTATCTATTAGGATATCCGCAGGGAGATCAACAACTTCTATAGTTATATCATAAATAATTCATACATTTGTCTACATGTCACTCATATTCGCCGTTTTATTCAAAGAAATTATATCTTCAATCAGCACAGAGCCGAACTTGGAATAGTTGGAATATCTAAAGTCCTAAATGATCATTTTATTAAGACAATCTACATGCATTGTTCTGACTTATAACTTCATATCCTCCCCTATTTGAAGAATGGTAGTAATGATTATCTAAAACTAGACAGCACTGTTTCGATCCGCCTTATATCTCATCAGTGGTGCCGAGTTGGACAACTTAGGTTTTACTAGTTGTTTGGTAGTAAAAACCGCAGAGAAAGATAGAAAGCGATTTGTTCAGCGGAAGATATCCAAGCTTGGCATTGCAACAAACTACCCTTGTTTATCTTATTCCAGGTTTTCCTGATGATTCCATAGATGACGTATTTATGAGGAAAGATGTCCATGCTCACTTTTAATACAAATCCTGTTGAGTTTTTCATTTTGCTGTTGTATCTTTTATGTGATTATATGAATGAATATAATGAATTTACTCAAAAGATAGGCAGCTCTTCGTCGGTATGCACTATGGGTTATTAAAAAAATTCAGTATCCTAAAATTTCAGCAATTGAATATATTCTTTTATAGAGATCTAAGTTGGGTTCCACACAGCCAATAAAATAAGTGGTAAATTATCTGGTCCACTGTGTAACCAAATCTAATCAAATTGAGTTCTTCAAATCACAGCAATGAAGTGAATCTCTAAGACTCAGATATTCTGAAGATACTTGATATCCACAAAATACTGGCTGGTAAATTGAACAATTGTAGAAATCAAAATCTGAATATGCTACAAATTTGTTATTTAATCGCGTGTAAAATAATTGTAATTACTTAATAATGATCTTAGATGAAAGTACGCTTTGACTTATATAAGGAAAGTCCAAGTGAAAATATGAGGAGAAGTATTACTTATAAGATTCATGTCATTGAAAAATTGAAAAAAATAATTATTGAGAATGGTATCAAAATCACCTCACCAGAGAATACTCGATTCAGGTTTACACTAGCAATGATCATCGCTAACACCGCACCACACTAAGCCCCTTATTTGGACTACCCAAAATCTACAAGAAGGACGTTCCGCTCTGACCGATCATCAGCTCCAGGAATTCGGCTGCTCTTCGGTTTGTCTAGATTTTTACTACCCATAATACAAGCATTACAAGGAAAAATATCGTCTTTTGTGAAGAATTAAAGACATTTTGTAGAACTACTAGGGGCAATTGAAGTCACACAGGAAGATCAGTTGATCTTCCTGTGTGAGTTCGACGTGGAAAGCCTTTAAACCAACGTTCCGGTCGAAGAAGCACTCCAAATGATACAGAGGAAGCTATCCGAAGACGGGGACCTGGAAGATAGAACGAATTTACCTATAGAAGTAATTATAGAATGACTACGATTTTGTGTACGAAACTGTTATTTCCAACTGAAGGACGAATTCTTTACAGAAGATGAGGGACTGCCAATGGGATCGCCACTTTCAACAGTCATAGCCAACATATTTATACTACATATGATTAATTTTATATCTACTTACACGTCTACAAAGTTTTTGAATGTTCTGTATATATTTATTTCACCCTTTTGTTAACCTTATACTCATTATTAATTTTAGTATCTTAAGTTATAAACATTTTTTTACACCACGCACAAGCCACACCTGTAGCTTCTGTGGGTTTCCCAATGTTTATTTGCCTTGTTATGCTTGCTGTTTTTCTTTTTGTGTAAATAAACGATGATGATGATGATGATGATATATATGGAGTGGTTTGAAACTCTGGCCATTGAAGAAGCCCACAAGAAACCTCGTGTCTGATTGAGATACGTTGACGACACCTTCATGATATGGAACCACGGGAAACTGAACTAGACGCCTTTCGGTAAGACCTTCTATCACTTTCACAATGGAGAAGGAAGTCCACAACGAATTGTCATTCTTAGACGTATTGGTGAAGAGGACCGACACTGAGTGGGAAATATCTGTATACCGAAAACCTACTCACACGGGACAGTATCTGAACGACGAATCCAACCGAAATCAATCGACTGAAAAAAGAGTAATCAAGATTCTATTAGACTGTGCTTTCGGGCTCTGTAATACAAAGGAAGGTCTCGAGAAGGAACTAGACATCATCAGAAATTATCTTCAATCGAAACGTCGTGAAGTAATTTGGCTTGGAATCTCTTAACTTTTTATTTTTTGTTCAATTGTTCTATTTTCACATGTATTTCATTTCACTATTATTTCATTTCAGGTTTTTTGGCTTAATATAATTGTTATTTTCAGCTATTCATTTTTATTATTTTTATTGTTTCTTTCAGGGATTTCAAGTCATTTTATATGATATCAGACAAAGTCCGAACTGATGAAATTCATCATGAAACATTGTCAGTCACCTTCAAATTAACATTTGCCTGTTGCATTCTTGTCGAGCTGTAGATGTAGTTTTATTCTATCAGGAACGGGACAGATTGGAAATATATACTTTTTTAATTGATAAAATGGACATGGACTATCTTGTGGACGTGGAAAATGTCATTTATCGAACTGGACGAATGGAAAACCCACCATTGGGCAAATTAACTGAAAATCTATTCCGTGTGGCAATCAGAGATAGAACTTTTTGTTCTTCCCTCTTCAATAATTCCAGACAAATTCTGCAGACTATTTGGTTCAAAATCTTGAAATTGAACCACTAAGCATTCACCCAAATAGTTTTGGCAAAACCTTATTCCCGACTTTCGGTTTAACGAATATAGAAATTGTACCTTGAAGGTATTACGTTTACCCGTAGGTTTATTAATTTCCAGATATAACGTAGTTACTTTTTGTTTTGGTTTAAGTACGGTCGGTTTAGTTACCAACTCGAAACATTCAACAGGGCCGTGGATCAAAGATGTTATTACCAATAAAATAAAAGATTTCTAATCAAAATGGGCGCCAAGTGATTTGGCCGGCTTTTATTACAAAAATCACTAAACTATACAAGAGAGCTAAACCCAATTTTTCTATATAATACGGTTCGAGAATTCTACGAATGATTTCTAATTTATCTCCTTCTACTAACGGTGATGGTAATCTATTGAACATATTCGAAATTCTTGCAAAAAATTCTCCTACCGGTTCGTGATGTCCTTGATGGCTTCTACGGATCTCTTCAAGAAAATCTGTTTGAAAACCTGTCGGTAAAAATTCATTTTTCAATTCCCGCACGAAATCAGACCACGAATTGATAGTATGCCGAACCGAACGATACCAACTTTTAGCTCTACCGTCTAAAAGATCAATAATCCCAAGAAACATTTCAGTATTGGAAACCCCTCGCGCGATCCGAAATTCTTCAACTAATTCCAAAAATGCGCTTACACTCAATGAACCCTTTATTCCCGTGAACCGAAAATTCCATTTATGAATATTACCGCCGGATGAAAAAGAAGTGGTTGGAGTTGTTATAGTGGATGATTGAGTTTGAGTAGCAAGTGGAGCAGATGATACATCCCCCTCACTTAGTTTTTGATCAAAACTAGTTTCAACTATACTCAATTGATTAATCAAATTTTTTAAAATATCATCATCAGTTTCCAATCTATTCAATCTACTCAGTAAATGTTGTAACTTTGCTTCAACAAATTTTGTTTCACTACTAGAAGCTGAGCGAAAAACATGACTGGAAATATAATTTTCAAGATCAACAATTTTTTTGTTACAAACATCTATCTCCTGAGTTATATCTAAATTGCAAGAATCAACTTTCTTCACTGGACTTCCAAACATCTCCCCCTGTATAAGTTCTTTCAACTGACGACGCATTGATAACACCGTTTCGGCTTGAGTATTGGAAAAACCTCTAATATGCAATTCGTACTCTAGTTCGTCTCTAATTAACTTTGACACATCCATATTCATAAACTTTGATTACAAATATCAAAATTAGTTAATTAATGAAAAATTCAATCGTGAATAATAGATGTCAAATATAATAATGGTATATGAATATCGTGTTACAAAAGCAATAAACAATTACAATATTCTGTTCGTACATCTGCAAAGATATACCATAAAACAAAAATCCTAACCTTCACACAAAAAAAAGGATTAAAATTGGAACAGGGTCCCACGTTCGAGGCGCCACTTTATTACGTTTACCCGTAGGTTTATTAATTTCCAGACATAACGTAGTTACTTTTTGTTTTGGTTTGAGTACGGTCGGTTTAGTTACCAACTCGAAACATTCAACAGGCCGTGGATCAAAGATGTTATTACCAATAAAATAAAAGAGTTCTAATCAAAATGGGCGCCAAGTGATTTGGCCGGCTTTTATTACAAAAATCACTAAACTATACAAGAGATAACTACAATATTCAAGAAAATATATTCAATTGAAGTTGAATCGATGCAAGGAATTAATTAAATAGAAAATATCGTAACAAAGGAATCCGACTGAATCGGTCGTATTGAAAAAAAAACTCACCAATCTATACCAAAAACTAATTATCATACGAGTGTTGGGAAAATAAATGACAAAGGGCATTCGAGAAGACCTGGAACTTTCTATGAGTAATGAAAAAGGAATGTTTCATTTATAGATATCTCGTTTTTTTTCAAAATGAGAAGTGAAAATCTTAGCGAGGCAAAAAATGTAATTTGGATTGCATACTCCCCAGAAAACTTTCTTTAAAATCATATGGGATTACGATTGATAACATAAAAAATATATAAAAAGTACTGTAGGTTTTTATAAACGCTACAAAGTCTAAAGAAGTTGATCTACCCAAAAAGCTGTTGCATGTCTAATTTATCTTTCAAACTTATTTGGAGATCTTTTTGTGAAGGTTATTAAAAAACACGAACATTTTTCAATGGAATGTAATTGAATGAATTATAATATGATGAAGTAATATTGTTGATTTCCAGAAAGCCTAACATCGACGGAAGGAACAGTTTAACGAATCTTTCAGATTTACAGATTTTAGAGCCAGATTGGAATTGATGAATATTGTTGAAAAGATGACGATGAATTTGACTGCATTTTTTTTTTATCATTATCGCACAAGTTGAGGCTTTTCAGTGAGATATATCAGCATCAAAAAGAAATACAAAAGTTGACGAATTCATGTTTCTGGTGATGTAATTTTTTTAAGGGGTGGTTGGCTTTGTACTTGGAGGAAACAAAAAGTCAAATGTGAGATAAGTGAGGAGGAGGACAGAACAAGATTTTCTCAATTTGTCACACTAACGCAAAGAAAATGCTGGCATAGTGAGAGTTAAGATCCTAAACCACCTAAATGAACAGCACTTAGGGCTAAGATAGATCAATAAAATTGTTGTTACTCTGTTTCCCAAAAATTACCTGTTTCATTTTACCACGCCATGTGATATTGATTAGTTAATAATCAGCTGAAAGCAAACAAATTTTATTTTGTTTCGAATACCTTATACAGTCAGTCTTATTATATGTACTAGTTGGACAAATGAAAATTGTTCAATGCTTGGCTTTTTCAGTTAGGAGTCGCTTTGGGATTTTTTATTCCACCACTTCTTGTTCCCGCAGAAAAATCCATGGATGAAACCTCCCAAAATCTGTACATCTTCTATGGATCCCTTGCAGTAATTTCTACAGGGATTTTGTTGTTAGTTTTGTTCTGTAAGTATCCTACAATCAGCACTTATGCAACTTATGCACTGATGCACTCGTGTTTAATATGAAACAAGAATATGGGTCAAGAAGGCCTTACTTACTTACCAAATAGAAGTCATCTGTGTTCTGACAATAGATACTTTTCTCTAATTTGTTTCCTTTGCATTCTCCAGTTTTCAAAGACGCACCTCCTACTCCTCCTTCGTACGCCGTAGCTCAGCAAGATTCTACAGGCAGTTTCAAAGAATTCGTAACATCTTTGAAAAACCTTTTGAGAAACAGATCATTCATGCTTCTGTTGAGCGCATACGGTATCAACACTGGTGTTTTCTACGCCATTTCAACGCTACTCAATCAGATCATCCTACATTACTACCCGGTGAGTGGATTTAACATACACAATTTCACGTATTTTCATTAGTTGATTACTTCTGTTTTGACACCCTATATGTATATTTTTTAGGACGGAAACGAAGATGCAGGTCGAATAGGTTTGGCCATTGTTGTGGCCGGAATGATGGGATCTGTTTGTTGTGGAGTCATCTTGGATAGATATCACAAGTTCAAGTAAGTTTTAGTTTGCAGAGAGAAGTGTTTTTTCCAAAAGTGCGAGATTCTTCAATTGAATAGTCACAAGACACACAGACCCACAGGACTTTTAGAGTCTATCTCTGTTTAGGGACACTGTTGTACCTAGGAACGGTTTTCTGAAATTCCGTCCTAAATGCCAACTAGAACTAGATTTTTCAATTAAACAAATTATATTTCCTTTGTAGTACCTCCTAATAATATATCAAAAATACATTTTTCTTATTAGTCAGTGGGCTATGCTTGAAGACTGGCAGTAAACAAATCCAAAGAAATGAACTTTAAACGTTCAAGCCATTCTCGAATATATATATTCGAGGAATCGGGCAAATTACGGATATGCAGTTGGTTAGTACCTCGTCCACTAGATGGAGAAACATTTTGTTGTTCGCTCCAACTTAGGAAGAGGAATGAAATACTCTGAAAGAATTCCGATTTTCGGAATATCATTGACTTTAGTTCGATGATGGCCACTATCTTGCACTGATGAGTGGCCAATGAGCCCGAAACCGGTCTGCAAGTGTGCCCGTTCCAAAATTGAATGTCGACTCTTTCAGTTGTATTGCCAATTGCATATGCAGGAAATTTTCTGCACTGTCGCCTGTCAGATATAATCCAACGCTCTTCGTGGTATTTGCCAGGGGAGTAGTTGTTTTCTGATAGCCGTCAGTCCATTCAACCTACTGTGTGGGTATATTCGAGACTGACTTGAACGTTTGAAGTTCAATTCTTGACATTTATCAAAAATAAATTCCTGCTCCGAATTATTCAGTAATTAAGAATAGTATGCAACTTGCTCCAAGGTACACGATGTTCGTGTACCTTGAAACTTACATCGTGTACCTTGAAACGCAAACCAAAAAAATTAACTAAGTAAAAATTCGGATTATTTAAAAATATTATTTTTACTAGTTTTCATAAATTAACAAAAGCAGTTGTGAAAAATAACAAGATATTTGAGAAAAAAGCAACTTAGAATCTAACTATCCTTGTTTTCTTCTTGGTGATGGAAAACTTAAAATATGATTTTGGAAAAAATACAAAAATAAATAACCAAACTATAACTTCTTTGCGCAAAAATTGCATAGGTATGTTTACCACTTATCATCTTTAAGATCGGCACATCGGTTATGAGCCCAGCGACCACACTTAATGCAATGACTCCATTTTTTCTCCACCCTTATTTGCCGCTGTGGTGTTGCCACAAAACCAACATGATTCATCGCCACTGTCTTCATGTTCAGTTGATGAAAGAGATATATCGTCTTGGCTGTCTGTGACAATAATTGTTTTGCCTCATTTTCTCCTCTCTTCTTACCTTGTTGTCTAGCTTGTGCTTTAGGAAACGGTTGCACTCGTTCAGGGGAAACAAAGCTTGTTTCACAGGTCTGTTTCCTATTGGTAACCGCAGATATCAACACATGTTGCTGTGAGTCGCGGAAGGTCCTGCAGATGGTTCTTCTTCTAGTTCTACTGATTTATCTTGAATTGTAGGAGTAACAGGTGTTGAAATATTCGCAGAGTTGGAGGGAGACTGAGACTATCAGGCTTTGCTGATGTGCTCGATCGAAGTTCTGTTGATCTCTTTTGAGGGTGAACTGTTAGAAACAAATTCAGTGAGTGGTTCGTGATCAGTGACGTAAGCCCCAAGAAAGTCCTCTCCCGAAAAAATTGCTCTATCCAACGGAAAAATTCCTGAGCATCTAAAACTACTCAATATATTACTTGAAGTAAAATCCCTTGGAAAAGCAGTTCCCAAAACCTCTGAAACGCAATAAATATAAAACATTTTGCCTGCATTATTGACCATCCATGCCTCGATATCTGGACTACAAAATGTTTTTGAAGGACCGTATAGGGTTAAATATAGGGGCTGTATGTAATTCATTAGATGTATAAGGTGGGAATGTCACTATAACAATACCAGCACTTGAAGCTTTTTCTAGTGCCTCTACTGACAGATGGCTCTCATGATTGCCTAACAGTAACAACACCCTCTCATCTCTAGAACAGTTTACATTCACAATAAAATGATCAAAGAATTTAGAAAAATCGTTAGACCATCCTGAGGGAGACCACTCGTTAGACCACTCCCAACAGTTCCAGGGGGTGCACCATATATCATATTGTCTTTGAAATACAAGCGAGGGAATATTAACATTGGAGAAATGTAGTTTCCAATGGCATTTACAGCGGTTATCGGCTTTATTTCTTTTGTGAGCTGAAATTTTGGACTGTGATTACACCGTGCTGAGCCCAGTCTCATCAAGATTCCATATTCTCTGTGGAGGGATTGGTCCGAAGCGAGTATGAACACTTTGTAGGTTGTCAAAAAAAGTATTTACGTTTGTTTCATTAAAACTTGTAGATCGTCTTTTGCTAGTAGCTTCCAGTTTCCTTATAAAAAGTTTCCCGATGCCTTTCCATAAAGCTACGCATCCATTCTTTCCCTGCAATTTCATCCTTGTCCCAACCTGGCGGATAATTCTTTTCATTGGCAGAGGCAAGTTTGTAAGCTAAACTTCTCACCCATTTCTTTGTCAAACCATATTGCACTTTCGCCACTTTTTGACTATATTCTACGAGACTATTTTCTTCTCCATTGGAAAAGACTCGTTCCACAGCGTTATTCGCAGTGTATTCATATAGAATCTCCACTTTCATTATACTTTCTAGATTCTCTTAGAAGTGTTGCAAGGCTTACGTAAAAATTTTCACTGCATCCCTATATGAAATTTTCTTTTCTGGATCAGAAGAGTCAACAGCTTCTAGATGCCTTATGTAAGGATTCTGTAACCACGGGTTCTCGTTTTTTATCTTTATTACGCGGCATAGTTCTGAAAAGAAAAAATGCCGATGTTTCAAGGTACAAAAGGTTGCAACATAACAAAAAAATGGCTGCCTGCGTGGTGAAGCATGCGTCGCCACATTTCTCACTTCTTTAATTATATAGTATCAATTATCGAACGATAATGACACGTCATCAATTGCTGATTTTGGTTTCCAAAGATACTGGGTGCCAGGGCATTCAGGAATCACAGGTAATGATAAAGCTGATGAATGCGCTAGACGCGGATCATCAATTTCATATATAGATCCTGAACCAGCTCTGGGGGTACCAAAATCATTGGTAGGTAACCAGATTGGGATATGGACCGATAAGAATTACACAGAGTACTGGACAAAAGTACCTGGCAACAAACACAGTAGAACCTTCATTAGGGAACCGTCCGAGAAAAGAACCGAAGAACTACTTCAATATAGTAGGGATTGGCTCAGAATAATTACAGGGTTACTAACCGGTCATTGTCCGCTTAGAGGACACCTGAATAAAATGAGGCTGTACAACGGAGACCTCGGCTGCAGATTATGCACATCTTATGCGAATGTGAGGGACTGACTCACAGGAGGCAGGCAATATATGGACGTACGAAATTACGTCCAGAAGAATATGACGAACATCCAACACGGAACCTGTACAAACTAGTACAGGGAACAAGACTGATGGAATGGGTGTCATGAGAAGTTGGAAGAATAAACGCAATGAGCCTAAGAGGCTGCAGTGTCAGACAGCTCCCAAGGTACCAAAAAAAGTTTCCAAATAAAAAAACATTATGTACCTATTTACTCGCCATTGAACACTATTTGTACACAAAAATTATTTGATTATTTGAAAGCTACCACTTCTCAAATTATCTACACACTAATATGTTGCAAATTATTTACTTTTCATGGCGAAAGAACACTTTTTTATTGCGCCACTTCAAAATACGTCTGTGACGGGTGAAACATAAGTGAACCACTGAAGGGCATGCAAGAGGGGATTGTAACTGGATTTTAAATTGATAGATGGCGTTGTCTGTCTGTGAGAATCCTTTCGAAGTACATTATGCTCTAGGTACAACAGTTTCCCCTAAATAAAATCACTCACAATTTGTAATGTGTTAAAATGAGAGTTTATGAAAATACCAATTAATCATTACTTATTTATATTTTATTAAAACAACGATAAAAATAAAATAAAAACAACAATAAAAATTAATTGGCGCTCCCGGGCGACTTCATTAATTCCAGTGGCGCATTCGCTTTTTCAGCTGCAGGAAAACCCGGAAAAACCTGCAGCACCACATCATCTGAAGATCTTGATCTAACAATGTCCTTTCTCTTATAAAATAAAATGTAGGGTGTCTCCAGAGGCTCCAATAAATTCAATGCATCGCTAGAACACTTCGTGACACGACTATCGTCAAACTTAAACCAGTCCCTTTCGTCTTTGACCAAGGCGTAATAATGATCAAATTCAACGCCAGAACCACAGTGAGCAATGACTACATGAATATTATAGTAGTAGTCTGCTAGGTTGAAATGTTCATCTATTTCGAACCTTCCAAAGAGTTTCTTGCTTCCGTTAGAGGTTGAGTCTTGTTTGAAGATCATCAGTGTTATTATTAGATTGACTGGTGCCTCAGCTATACTTGTTTCCTTATAACAGTCAGTTAGTTTGGCGCATGTTTGGCAATACAGTCGATCATCACCTGTTAAAAACTCCATTTTCAGATGATTTAACAATAAGCTTTGCACGGACTGGTTATTAGTCATATTAGGAAAAGCTAGATGCAGTTTCAGAAATTCATATGAGTTTTCGCTACTTCTTGAACATTCACCACAAAGTAAACAAGTGCATATGAATCAATTCTTCAGACGTGTAATATTCACTAAGAAAATTTGTCGAATATGCCCAAAAAAACCACTAATACAAGCGGATGGTTCAATTGCAACAACAGTCATAAAAAAAGCAAATACTCCACAGTTGATTTTCTGGAAAAGGGACCACCCACTATTCCCACACTAGAATTCACAATGCCGGAAATTACTTTTCAACAGCGTCTCGTCAGGGGAATTTTGAAACAGCTCAATATCAACAAGGCGTCTGGCCCTGATGAAGTGACCGTCATCGTACGCAAATGAACTCGTACCAGTATTCTGCAGATTTTTCAATCTGTCTTACTAGAAAGGAGTTTTTTCTTCTTCGCGTTCAGCCTATTCCCAAAAAGCACAAGAAAAATCTTCCAAATGACTATAGACCAGTCGCTTTGCTTTGATATCAAAAATCATGGCTTCAACATCTTGAGCGATCATCAATATGGCTTACGGAAACAAAGATTAACTGGCGACCTTCTATCGTATATCACCTATATTTTGAATAACGCAATCGAGAAACATGGAGAATCAAGAGCTGTTGCGCTTGATATTTCTAAAGCCTTTGACCGTGTATGGCATGAGGGTTTGCTAACCATACTTCGATGCCATGGCTTGTGGGATCATTTTTGTGTATGGCTCTTCAGCTTCCTGAAAGAACGTTTCCTGCAAATGGCCGTCGATGGATATCTCTCGAATACTGGGTGTTCCCCAGGGATTCATATTGTCTGCAACCCTCTTTTTATTGTATTTCAACGTCTTATTGGAAAAAAAGCAAGAATCCAATACATTACTTCGCTGACGACAGCACATTTGTGTCGTCATTCCATTTGGATTCTAGGACATCGGCTACGGAGGCACATCTCCATTGGCAGCAGGAGGTTGCAAATCTTAATGATGATCTAGAAGTGATTTCAAATTGGGGTAAAAAAAACCAGGTTCAATTCAATGCCACAAAAACCCAGGCATTGATTTTCTCCAACTATATAAATGTCTCCGAACCGGATAAAATAATGTCAGGTCGGACAATTCTGATTTCTGCTTCGATACGTTTGTTGAGGGTTAAAATGGACACCAATATGTTTTGGCACAATCATGTCGCTTGAAATGCAAAGGCTGCTTCTCAAAAGCTCGAACTAGAAAGTTGTACACACCTCAGCAACTTTTGATGCTTTATAAAGGTCAAATCAGACCTTCTTTGCAGAATTGTTCTCATGTATGAAGCTCCGCCCTCAAACATACCCTGAAGTTGCTGAATTCCAACCAGAAAAGAGGCATCCGCCTGATTGAAGACGATAACATCACTTGCAACCTTGATAGCCTGGAACATCTAAGAAAGGTTGAAGATTTGTTTCTTTTTTTCCACGGGAGGTGTTCAAGTGACTTGGCACATTTAATTCCACCAGGAGCGGTGCATATTAGAAATACGCGACGGACTGTGGCTGCTCATCGTTTTGAGGTTCAACTCAGTGCACTTTGAACTCCACTGTTAAAGAACTCTTTCATCTGGAGAACTGCGTTTATGTGGAATAAACTTCCCGAGAACTTATTTTCAAATGGATTCAATCTCCAGCGATTCAAATCCAATGTGAATCGTTACTTTCGCACAGACACCACTCTGAGAGCGCCTCAAGGATTTTCCTGTAGTGCTTGTGTTTTGTCTCTAAAAAAACAATAATGAAATTCCTTATTCTTTTAGGAATGCAATCATTGTAGGAGTATAATTTATACCTATTTAAATAATGATTGTTAAATATACGAAAATCTAAGGAATACCGAAAAGAACTTCATTTGACGATATTATATTATTGCGGACCAAAATATTGTTATAAAAATACTGGTCCGTGGCACCCTGGTTAAAAATTCTGTGAAAATAATCTTATAGATTTACAATGGTTTTTGGTTGTTCCTGTACAGATCAATTTTGCGCGAAACATTAACATTATTTTTGGTGGGTTTATTACTGCGCCATTTTTTTTCAAAATATTTTATTTACTAGAAAAAATCTCTCAACATGAAACGCTTATTTCAATTGTTTCATTGAACATTTCAATAGTTGACGGATGAATTTCGGTTGTTTAGACGAGTCTTCAATAAACAAAACGTTTAGAATGCTCTTCATGAATCATAATTTGAAAACGTGATTTTTTCATGTTCCATTTTATAAACGGATTTGACAAAATTTGACTTGTAAAATGAATAACTGAGATATTATTCTACCGAGCACCGTTTGAGATATTCTTATTTTCAATTTTTAGGGAAACTACCCTTGTCGTATATGCCTTGGCACTGATAGGGATGGTTCTCTTCACCTTCACAATATCTACTGGACTATATGTGGTTTACATTATTTCATTTCTATTGGGGTAAGTATATATATTATAATTCCACCCATACCACCCACTCGAGTTCTTTTTTCCACTCAATTTTCAAACTATATTTGAAATTGAATAAAATAATAAAAATAGGAAATTTTTTGAATGCTTTTTTCAAATATATTCTCCTATTACTCTGACCCGAAATATCCTTCACAAATATTTTGGAATACTCCTGTTATGAGTCAAAGCAAAAGTATAGTATTCTATTCGTGACTGACGATGCTCTCCTTAACACGCGTCGCCACATTTCTCACTTCTTTAATTATATAGTATCAACTATCGAACGATAGTGACACTTTATCAATTGCTGAATTTGGATTTTTGACTCATATTTGTAGGCCTATCTCTCTTCGATATATTTGCGATATACTTGCGTAAAAGGACATCAATTTATGACGTATTTTTATTGATTTTTTGCCAGAAGTGTCCCTGTTTTTATTCAATATTTCTGTTATACTAAGACTGTTAAAAAAATGAGGTGAATGTTCTAATTTCGCGGGCTACGTACATTCGATCAGCGATTTTTATTTTTTTTATGTTGGTACACTCGTCTCGAACATATGTTCACAGTATCAGCTGTTATGCATGTTGGGTTTGTTGATGAGGGACGTAAAAGTTGAACGTGTTTTGCGTGTTCGATGAATTTCTGCTATCGAAAAAAATAAATAAAATTTTGTGGGAAGAACGGAATTAAGTGCTTAAATACGCTCGAAATATTGACACTGGCATACGGTGATTATACTGCGAGTCAGAAACATATTTGCAAGTGGTACAACTTTTTACAGAAGGTAAAGAGGATGTGAATGACGACGCTCACCCTGGACGATCAAAAACTTTTACCAAAAAACCGTCGCATGAACATTGTTCAGGATTTGTTGAATGACATCAACGGCTATCCAGATTTACCTAAGAGGGTCATAACTGGTGACGAATCATAAGTATATGATTACCGTGGCGTAGTGCATCAGCAGTTCTTACCACATGATGGTACGGCCAATAAAAAGTATCATCTTCGAACTTATGAGCCGCTTGCGAGAAGCAATACCAATACCACGATAATGCACCTGCTCACTTGTCATTGTTCGTTAGTAATTTTTGGCCAAAAACAACACCGTAATCATGCCTCGGTCTCCTTCTCCACCAGATTTGGCACCCTGCGACTTTTTACTTTGTCCAAGTTGAAAGGGCAATGTTTTGCGATTACTAATGAGATAGAACCCGAATCGCTGAGAGAGCTTGACGACATATCAAAAAGTGCATATCAGAACTACTTGGAAAATGCACCAGTATTTTGCAGACTTTTGAACCTGTCTTACAAGAGAGGGTTTTCTCCTTCTGGTTGGAAGATTGCTCGTGTTCGGCCTCTTTCCAAAAAGAGCAAGAAAAATCATCCAAACAACTATAGACCAGTCGCTTTGCTGTTAGTGATATCAATAATCATGGAAAAACTCATAAACCACAATATCCTCAAATATTTAAAAGGCTTCAACATCTTGAGCGGTCATCAATATGTCTTTCGGAACCAAAGATCAACAGGCGACCTTCTATCGTATGTCACCCCATATATTGGAATAACGCAATCGAGAAACATGGAGAATCAAGAGCTGTTGCGCTTGATATTTTTAATGCCTTTGACCGTGTGTATCATGGGGGTTTGCTGGCCAAACATCGATTCTATGCCTTGTCGGATCATTTCTGTGAATAGATCTTCAGCTTCCTGAAAGAACGTTCTCTGCAAGTGGCCGTCGATGGATCTCTGTATCTGTAGAGTGTAAGCCCATAGTACTTAGGCCACATGTGACCCATTATACATCTTCCCGAGGAGTTGTCCTCGTAGGTCATCGTCCATCCTCTCCTTTCCAGGAAGGTGGACATGTCACTGGGAGACATCTCCTTTATATGGACAGGTGTAGGCCAAGACTCGTCAAGAATCTTGGTTACACTCTAGTACTAGCTCTGAGGTGATACGTTGTCTGTTCAAGGCTGATAGGGCTTGTCTGCTCTCAGTGCAGATTGTTATGTTTTTGCCAGAAATTCCTTTCTTGGTTATTTCTTTTGTGGCGATTGAGATACCAGCCAGTTCTGTTTGGACCACGCTGGTATTTCTTCCCATTCCCCACTTAATTCTTAGGCTTAGTGAACTGGAGTACACTCCAGATCACTTCTTCGGCTTTTGAGCCGTCTGTATAAATCCGTATTGCATTTGTATCATCTGACTATGTAATGCTTAATTTTTCTTTTGTAGGGTTTATTTAACACAAACCTGGGTTCAATTGCATCGCTTGTTGCCTGCAGCAGAGGTTGCGCAGTAAGCGCTTCTCGCCACAGGCCCAGCCTCAATTGACCCATTCCTACTTCGAGGTTTACATCACCCTGTGATGTTTAAACAAGCCAGTCACTGTATTTGGTATACTTTTTGGATGGCCGTTGCTTGTAGAACTTTCGGTTCCCATGCAATGGCTCCATACGTTAACATTTAACGATTAACTACACATTGCAGTGTAGATCCAGGTGACCACACGGGGTGAAGGACCCCATGCGCGTCCCACTGTCCTCCGACATTGCTCATAAGCCACGTATGCTCTTTTTGCTCTACTCTGTAGATGAGAGTTCCATGTTACCTTCCTGTCGAGGATAGTACCAAGGTATTTTACCTCTTCAGAGAAGTTTGGTTTGCTTTTGAAGATTTCTGGAGGTTTTAAGCCCGTTAAACATTTTTTCCTGGTGAAAAGGACCATCTCAGTCTTCTTGGGATTGATCGACAGTGACTGTTCCTTACACCATGTTTCTATTGATTTGAGCCCATCCTGCGCTCTATCGCACAGTGTGTTTACAAATTTGCCGGTCTGCAAGATAATTATGTCATCTGCGTAGGCAATTGTGTAGAATTCATTTTTGTTAAGGTGATTAATCAGGGTGTCCAGAACTATGTTCCAGAGGAGGGGTGATAAGACCCCTTCCTGTGAACATTCCCTCATGACCAGCCCTTTCACTGTGATGTCTTCTACATTAATACTTATTGCTCTACTAGAGAGCATCTTGAGTATCCATTCTCCTACTACCACGGGTAGATTCCTGGAGTGTAGTTGCTGGGTAATTGTTGGAAAGGTTGTTTTATCAAACGCTCTCTCGATATCTATGAATATACCCAGGGTGGATTCTTTGTTGTCCAATGATCTCTCGATTCTGCCAACGACATGGTAAAGGGCCGAATCAGTAGACCTTTCCGGAGTATATGAATGCTGATTTGGATAATGTGGGTTGTGTACTAGTACTTCATCTCTTATGTACCGCTCACATATCCTCTCCATGGGTTTTAAGAAAAACGATGTGAGACTAATTGGTAAGAATGCTTTTGGTATGGTGTAGTATGGTTTGGTATGTGTATCCTACATGGTTTGGGTATAAATTTTACTCTTACTTCTCTCCACTTACTGGGAATATAACTCAGAGCTAGAGAGGCTGTGAATATTCCAACCAGGTGCGGCATAAGAGTGTCCAGTCCCCACTGAAGAAGGGCTGGTCTTATACCATCAGGTCCTGTTGACTTGAAGGGGGAAAAGCCCAATATAGCTCATCTTATTTTGTCCTCATCAATTACTGCACTAGCAGATTGCCAGTCGTATTGTGAGGGTGTTGTTGATACATCCATCCAGTTCGTCGTTCCAGGAAAGACGGAACCTGGGAAGTAAGTTTCCATAAGAATCTCAGCACTCTCCTGGAGGTTGGCGGCTTTGTTGCCATTTTCCCTCATCAGGATGCCGATACTCTCATGGTAGTCATTTGAGAATGCCTTCTGTAGCCTAGAAGCTAGTGGGAAGTCTTCGACTGCCTCACAATAGGCTCTCCAGACTTCTCTTTGCTTTCGTCTGCAGACTTTTTTGAACTCTCTACATATATTGGAATAACGCAATCGAGAAACATGGAGAATCAAGAGCTGTTGAGCTTGATATTTCTAAGGCCTTCAACCGTGTGTAGCATGAGGGTTTGTTGGCCAAACATCGATTCTATGCCTTGTCGGATTATTTTTGTGAAAGAACGTTCCCTGCAAGTGTCCGTCGATGGGTATCTCTCGAATTCTTTCACCATCAACGCTGGTGTTCCCCAGGAATCCATATTGTCTCCAACCTTTTTTTATTGTATATCAACGACTCATTGAAAAAAAAAGAAAAAATACAATATATTGCTTTGCTGACGACAGCACACTTGTCTCGTCATTCCATTTGCATTCGAGTAATTTCGAATTTGAAAGTAACCAGGTTCAATTCAATGCCACAAAAAACCAGGCATCGGTTTTCTCCAAGAAAATAAATGACTCCGAACCGTATATAATAATGTCAGGTCAGAAAATTCAGCTTTCTGCTTCGATAAGTTTGTTGGGGGGTTAAAATGGACACCAACATGTCTTGGCACAATCATGTAGCCGAAATTGCAAAGGCTGCTTCTTAAAAGTTTGGAACACTGGTCAAAACCAGAAAACTGTACACACCTCAGCAACTTTTGATGCTTTATAAAGCTCAGATCAGACCTTCTTTGGAGTATTGTTCTCATGCTCTGGCCCCAAACATACCCTGAAGTTGCTGGATTCCATCCGGAAAAGAGTCATCGATTGATACGCGAACATCACGTGCAACCATGATAGCTTGGAACATCGAAAAAAGGTTGGAGATTTGTTTCTTTTCCATAGATACTCTCACAGGAGGTGTTTCAAGTGACTTGGCACATTTGATTCCACCAAGAGCGGTAAATATCAGAAATACGCGACGGACTGTGACTGCTTATCGTTTTGAGGTTCAACTCAGTACACTTCGAACTTCACTGTTAATAACTCTTCCATCTGGAGAACTGCGTTTATGTGGAGTAAACTTCCTGCGAATATTTTTCCAAATAGATTTAACCTCCAGCGATTCGAAACCAACGTGAATCGCTACTCTCGTACGAGAGCCGCTCTTAGAGCACCTTAAGGATTTTCCTGTAGTTCTTATGTTTTCCTTAAAAAAAGAGGATAGAAAAAAACGGTGGCATAAGTGTATTATAAATATCTGAGGGCGACTACTCTAATGGGGACTGTACAGAAATTGAAGAATAAACGAATATTTTTTGAGAAAAATTGAAAATTCACCTTCCTTTTTTCACAGACAGCGTATTCTGGAAATTATGTTGTTTTTGTTGGAAGTTATTATGTATGCTCTAAATTATTTTGTTCGGTATTTAGAATTTGATTGAATCAATTTTCTGCAGATTCTTCATGACCGGACTGCTCCCTGTCGGTTTCGAACTAGCAGCCGAGCTGACCTACCCAGAACCCGAAGGCACTTCGGCAGGCCTGCTCAACGCGGCGGCCAATCTATGTGGCATCATTTTCACCAATTTCTACTCTGCTATTTTCTATCACGTCGACGTCGTGTGGGCCAACATATCCATGAGCTTGATGTTGGTTGTAGGGACAATTCTTCTGGCATGCACCAGCCCAGATTTGAAGAGGCAGGCTGCGCAAGGCGAGAAAAATGGCGTACCGTGAAGGAACACTTAGGAAATTGGTCTACTTATTATTTACTGCTTGAGGTTCAACCTTAGAAGTTGGAAGTAGGTGTAATAATAGACAATCCGTCGATTGACATAATGAATTCGTCGTAACATATTTACGATGCAAATATTAAAAAAAGCTGATAAGAGCCATTTTCAAAAGCAAACAATAGACCCTATCGGATAGGTATTTTATTTGGAACACATGTTTTTTTGTCATTAGTGTTAGTTTTCATGTTAATTGTTCATGACGTTACTGCCACTAATTATTTATGAAACTAAATAGAAAATGAATACAATGAAAACAGCAACTAAAACTCAAAATTCGACAAATAAATATCAATTACATATGGAAAATACATAGAGTAATCAACTTAGAAAAAAATACATATGTTCCAAACCCACATGTCATCGAAACACGTGTCGAAGTGTTAAAAATAACGATTTGGTGTTGGGAAAAAACTCCAGTATTATTCATTACTTCACCAAAAGTTCTGTTCCGTCTTCACCAGTATTTTATTTTTTTTATTTTTCATTTTTTTTCTTTGTGTATTTGTCTACTGATGATTTTCATTCAATTTCAATTCCACAAAATTTGTATTTAACGCGAAGTTCGGCTGTGTTTCCTATTCTGATTAAATATATGGAGCGCTCCTCGTATCAATATATTTGGTCAATCGCTGAAACAGCAGCAGAACAACAGGGATTCGATATATAGACTCGCTACAGAAAGCATTTCAGGTGATTCGACAAGCTACTCAATTAAGAAAGTTGCTGGCCAGCTAGTGCCGTGTGATCCAACGGGTTCTTACGATCATCCTCCTGGAACCAGAAATCTCTCTACAAGCCGCTACTAGAGCCGACATACACTCAGGTGAGAACCACAGCCACGTAATCTCTCTCGCTCTTTTTTTTTGTCTCCAGAACAAAATTCTATCGGGAACTTTCTCAAATCATACAATCCTGTGTTATACTACAGTCCACTTATCTAATGAAGCTACAGGTTCCAAACAGGGCATCATAAGATACAGGGTGTTAAAATGAAAATAAAAAAAGTTATTCGTAAATATCCTTCACCTAATTTTGTTGTAATTGTCAGTGGTATTTATATTATTAAGGAGCTAATTTAGCCCGAACGTCCAGTGGCGTCTCGAGCGGGATTTGAACGAATATTTTTGACTTAAAAATGTACGCCACCGACTTTTGTGCAGTTTTCATTGTTGTATTTGGTTTAGCAATTAGAAATACAACTTTTTTGTCTCTTGAATTTTATTCTTATCTTGCTTAGTTTTTAAGAAAAAAAAGTTGACCTAATTGCATATCTGTGGACCTCACAAGGAATAGTATGGGGAATTAAATGTTTCCTTTGGAAATAATTATTTTTACAATTTTTCTAGCCGCCGCATCATTGAATTTCGCAGTCTCCTGAAAATACCTGGCGTATTTTTTATTATATCACATGAATTAATGATTTTATTCCGTTAATCTTTTTCACTTTGAATAGCAGTTTTGTATACCAACGCTTTAAGGTGTCCCCAGAGAAAATAATCTAAGGGATTCATTTCGGCCGAGTGAGGTGGCCATGGGTGTGGGCCTGCTCTCCCAATCCAGCGATTATGGTAATTTTCATCCAAAAATTGCCTGCCGTGCCACTACACTGAAGTGTGGTGGAGCACCATCGTGCATGTACCACATATGGAATCTTTCCATGACTGGAATTTCTTCTAAAAGTCCAGGTAAAACAAATTCTAAAAAACCTTCGGTATTCTTCTCCATTAAGTCTAGTGGAAGGAAGTAAGGCCCAAAGAGATGGTCACCGACAATTCCAACCCGAATATTAAAAGAAAACTGTTCTTGAAAATTATTTTCTATCAAGGCGTGTGGATTGTTTTCGGCCCAAATGTGATTGTTGTGGAAGTTAATATTTGAATTTCGAGAAGAAGAAGCTTTATTTGTAAACAATATTCGACTTAGGAAACCTGGATTTCTTCTTATTTTACCGCGTAAGTAATTATAAAAAGCTAGTTTTACAGGCAAATCTCTGGGCAATATAGCTTGCACACGTTGCATGTGATAGGGATATGGCTGCTGGGCTCTTGAAATTTGCCACACTGTGACATGGGTAATATTCAGTTCTTCAGCTATTTTCCGAGTACTTGTATAAGTATTTACTTCAATCTCATTTAAAACAGCTTCTTCAATTTGAACTGTTCGTACCGTGACAACCGTGACAACCCAATGACAACCGTCGATCATTTAAAACTGCCTGTTTCAGAAAGTCGTGCATGGAGACGTACAAAAGTTTTTCTATTAGGCACTACACGCTGAGGAAATCTTCATGGTAAATGCGTCTTGCAGCATTCGAGTTTCCGTGAGCCATTCCATAACAGAAATGCATATCTGCCATTTCACTGTTAGTAAATTGAACCATGTTTTACAAAAATTGTTCGAAAAATAACCACTAAACACACTTTTCATAATAATTATAAATTAAAAACTTATAAAGTTGACAACAACTGTCAAGTTGTTTATTGAATGTTGCAATTGTTTTCCAGAGCAACCCTTGATTATTATTTATGGTATTTTCAGAAGAGTGCCAAATTCAATGATGCGGCGGCTAGACGGTTGTATTTAAGCCGAAGGAGGCCATTTCCAACACTTCGTTTAGTGCAATTTGTTAGTCTAGATGTTAATGTTATTTAATATTTGTTGTTATTGTTTCATAATTAGTAATGAAAAATTGTAAAAATAATAATTTCCAGAGGAAACATTTAATTCCCCATATTATTCCTTGTGAGGTCCAGGGATATGCAATTAGGTCGATTTTTTTTTCTTAAAAACTAAGTAAGATACGAAAAAAATTCAAGAGACAGTAAGAATTGTATTCCTAATTGCTTAACCAAACTAATTAATAAAAATTGCACAAAAGTCAGTGGCGTACATTTTTAAGTAAAAAATATTCGTTCAAATCCCGCTAGAGACGCCACTGGACTTAATCACGTTCGGGCTAAATTAGCTCCTTGATGTTATAAATTCCATTGCCAAAAAACAACAAAATTAGGTGAAGGATATTTAAGATATTTACGAATAACTTTTTTTAAATTTTTATTTTAACACCCTGTGTCTCGAGAACAAAGGATTTGTGGACCCATGTTTATATGAACATTTCGTCTTAAAATTACCCAAAGATTTTAAATTTATGGTACATACCTAATTAACACCCTGTATATTCAAAATATTGTCAATTACCAATTCAAAAAAAAACAAAATGGACATTCAAAATAAAAAATAATGGATGTTACAGAAAAACATTGCTTGTAACTCACATGAGTTCGGACTTTCTATGTGGATTGAAAGAATTTTAAGAATCTGATCTGACGTATAATTCGTTAAAAATGGTACTTTATTTCCTTACTTCAGATATTAGCAAGCATCCAAGATTTCAAATCTACCAATAAATTGTACAAAATCAACAGACGAGGCTTTCGACTGTAATGACAATTGACGATTTTTTAATATTAGATGATCAAAACTGAAAATTGAAAGAGACTAAATATAAAATTATATTGACGGATATTAGAAATGTCAGCTGACAGTTTTTGAAAGTTTTGAATTAACGGCGGATTTTCAATTCGAAAGTGTCAACTGATTTGCAATTATTGTAGACAGATTTCAAAAGTGTCAATTAGTGAGTTTTGAATGTGAAAGTATCAAAATTGGCAGGTTTTGAAAGTTCCATTGAATGTACTTGGATAATAATAATAATGAATATTTCCAACTCGTCCACAATTTGCAGGTTTTTTTTTTCATATATAGTCAGTCACTATATGTGAAAAGTTTTCTTTCCTTATACGAAGAATTGGGCAAATTTTGGATATGCGGTTGGTTACCTCGTTTACAGGCAGATAGGGCGACGACAAACCTGATGTTTGTTGTCTGCTTCAGCCTAGTTCGAGGAATGATACTCTGAAGGGATTCGATTTTTAATTATCGGAAATCATCAACTATATTTTGATGATAGACACTACGAGTGGCCAAACAGCCCGCAAGTGTGTTCCAATAATTGAAAATCTATTACGGCAATTGTATCGCCAACAGCATATGCAGGAATAACTTCAGTGAAGAATCCTGCACTGACTCCTGACGGATATAATCCAACGCCCTTCGTGGTATCAGTCAGAGGAGTAGTTGTTTTCTGATAGGTGTCAGTCCATTAACCTACAGTGTAGGGAGTTGAGTCTGGCCTGAACGAATTGTTCTTTAGATGATTCAATTTGAAGGATTTTTAAAATGCTAATTGACTGATTTGAAAAGTATCAATAGCCAGGTTTTAAAAGTGGCATTTTATTGGTTATAGTGGTGATAAATCCTTCAACAAATATCAATATGATCAATAAACTGAAGGATTGATTGATTTTGAAAGTGCCAATCAGTGAGTTCTGAAAGTATTATTCGATTTATTTCAAAAATGTTATTGTTTTATCAAAACAGTCAACAGATTCAAGAGGTGGAAACTGAATGATTTCAAAAGTGCTGATTGCCCTATTTTGAAAACGCCAATCAACAGGTTTCAAAGATGTCATTAGATTAATTTTAATTGAAATCAAGAGACAATCGATAGATTTTGAGAATACTAATTGACGAACTCTTCAAAATGTCAGATTTAAGGAAAGGTATTTGACTATTTTCAAAAAGAGTCGATTGACTGCTACTAAATGGAGGAATTTGGAGGTTGCTTGTTGAAAGATTAAAAAAAAATAACAATATAATCAATAATGTTTTGTTCTAATCCATATTTACAAGAAACCAAGAGCGATACTTGATTCAACGGGCGATTTTTTTGGAAATCAAAGATTGCTTTTAGCTGACGCATTTAAAATGTGATTTTAGGGTTCAAGGTATCCTCCTAGAGTCTCATTAAAATGCCCAACGTTTATAAACGCAAACTCGTTAGCATAGATAAGTAGATAACAATAGTGGTATTTTCATGTGATGAAGTAGCTGTGAAATATACGATGTTAGTGAATTATTTAGCTGAATTGTTAGTTGAATGTAAGTTTTGGAATTGGCAGTTCAATTACTAACATGTTTTCAATAGTTTTCTGTTCAAATTGAAAAGGGCATATTTTCAGGAGAGATACTTTTTTTGGGAAAGAGAGATTTCGCCTTTCTACTTCTCTACCTCCATACAAAAAAGTGATAATTTTACAAAGAAAAGAAGAAAGCAATTAATCCCAATTGAATACTAGTCCTATGGATCTTGTTGAAATTGAAACAGAATACCAATTTTTGAAAACGGAAAACTACATTTGCATTGAACGAAAAATTAATCACAGTGACTCTCGTAATTATCTGAAACCAATTTAGTTCTATCAAAGTTACAATTAGAATTTTACGATGTTTCCAAGATTTTCTGTTTTGTGACAATGAAGACCTAATAACTGCCATTTTTGGCATTATTTTGAAACCTAGCTATATCAGCCCTTCTTCAAATCCACCAGAATTAATTTTTCACGAGTTGGTACATTGGGACCGGACGACAAATGCTCATAAAATTTATTTTGATCTTGTTTACCATCTTTTTGTAGATAAAACACAGATTTCTGAAATTCAATAGATTATCAAATGCTTTTGTTTTAAATTGAAATGGTTTTGTTCCTGTTTATTTGCGAAAGGATAAACTGTGCAGTAATTTATTCTGCCAATTCTCATCAAACCAAACACTGTGTTTATGGAATCTCTACAATAACTTCTGACAATAAAATTTATATATGTAAATTTTCTGCTTGAAATATCGATTGATATATATTTTTATTGTAACAGTATTTTTAAGTATTATTAGACTCATATACGAGATTGAAGATATGGTTCAAAGTGATAGATACGATGAAACGATTTCATGGTGAGTCCATCTACGTTGAATGGAATTGTGTACAACAAATAATTTACATTAGCATTAGTAAAATATTAATTTTTGGATATACTGACCTGTTACTCGGTGAAAATACATAGTTCTATTAATGATTATAATTATTGATGATTATTCAGTCTAACTGAGGATGCTACTATGTAGTAAAATATGTATTGGAAATAAAATTCATATTGAGAAAATTTATAATTAATATCATGATAGTGTTAAATATTATTTTTGTAAAATAATTTATTGTGATAAGGAGTAGCTGATCAAATGAAAAACTATTTTTCATCGTGACATACTAGGACAATAAAATTTAATTTTGGAAGATTACAGCTATTTCAAATTCAGGGAAAAATTGTTTGGTGCCCAA